TTATAAAAAGTTAAAAAAAATATTATTAAAAATTAAATTATATATGTTTAAATATTAAAAAAAAATATATTTAATATATAAAATATTTTTATAATATATTATAATTTAAAAAAAAATAAAACTTTAATCTATTATTAATAACAATAATTAAAAATAATTAATATAATTATTATAAAATAATAGTTTTTTAATAAAATTAAATAATAAAAATATAATTATTATATTTAAAAAAATATATTAAAATATTTAAAATAATTTTTTAAAATTAAAAATATTTATTAAAAAATATAAATATATAAAATTTTCAATTAATATTTAATTATTAAATATTTAATAATAGTTATTTTAATTTTTATATTTAAAAATTATATAAATTAAAAAGTGTTTTAATATATATTAATATATACATATATATAATATTATATAAATAAAATAAAATTTTAAAATTATAGTTATTTTATTTATAATATTAAATTTTTATTTATTTTTTTATTTATTTTATTTATAATTTTTTTTAAAATAGTTAATTTTTAATTTTATAATAATTAAATATTTATTTTATTATTATTGATTTAATTTATTTTATATTTTATAATTATAAAATACAATGAAATTATATATATATATATTTATTTTAAAAAATTAAAAAACAATTAATAAAAAAACTATATTATAAATAATATTTTAAATTTAATATTTAATATTAAAAAAACTTTATTATTTAATAAATGTATTTAAATATTATAAATATTTAAAAATTAAATAAATTATATTTATATATTAATTATATATATATATTTATATATAAATATAAAAAAACAATTTAATTTTTATTTTATTATAAATTTAATAATAATAAAAAAAATTATAAAATATATTTTTAATATATTATTTATAAAAAATAATAAAAATAATATAAATTTTTTTTAAAAAAACTCTAATTTTTATTATTATTAATTTTTATTTAAAAATTAACATTTTTAAAGTATATTATAAAATTAAAAAATATATAAAAATTAACTTTTAAAACTAAAGCTATATTTAAAGTTTTTATTTTTTTTTTAGTAAAATTATTAATTATTAATTATACTATAAACAGTAAAAATATATAAATTAAATTTATCAACTTAATAAATTTAAATAATTATATAAATTTTATAAAACTTGTAAAAAGTTAGTAAAGTTTAATTTATAATATATTTTTTTTCTTTTACTTTCCCTATAAAAGCTTTACTTTATATTCCCCAGTAACTTAGGTAAACTATAAACCTAGATATAAAATCCCCTATAGGGCTCCTATAGTAACTCCTAAGTTAATTACAGCCTGGGTTTAAACCTAAGACCTTTATAATAGGAAGTTTAACTGTAAAGAAGTTGGCCCTTAAGGCTAAAGCTACAGCTAAAGGTTCTATTCCTTTAGTAGGGTTACCGCTAACCAATTGCGCTATAAACGGTAAAAGGATACAAATTGAACTTACTGACTGGGTAAGTTTAAGCAGCTATATAAAACCTATAGAGCTTATAGAAAGTAGGCAAAGCCCAATCCGTAATAAAGAGGGCTTATTAAATATTACTCCTTGCCTAAAAAACATTAAAAAAAATAAGTTTTGCTTATTTACAATTAGTATATAAAAGAACCTTAATTTTATTTTTAGTAACTTAAAGTACTTATAGTATAAAAGATATTTCTAATATAATAAAGTATAATTTTATATACATTATAACTTATATTTTATAAAATTATAATTATACATTTATTAATATTATAATAACGTATAATAATACTGTATATTTTACTTTGTTGTGGGGATTAAAGAAACAGTGTTAAACTTTGTGTTATTGTAAAAAAGTATATTACATTATATTAAAAAAAGCTATATTATAGTAAAAACGCACTAAATTATAGTGAAAAGGCGCTATATTATACCAAAAGGGCAATACTTACTTTTCCAAGCCCCACTCTTTTGTAATACTTCTCAAAGCTAGGAGTCATACTTAATAAGCCCTCCCTAAAGCTATTACTTTTAGAAAAATTTATAATTATATATAAAATATTAAATATTTTTTATTTTCCTCTTTTACATTATGGAATGTATAAAATGTTTTACTTTATTCCCTTTAGTTACATATTTATTCCTCCGAAAAACTAAATAGGTCCAGAGTAGTAGCTCAACCCACAAGGGTACGGACAACAATATAAATAAATAGATAGCCTAGCCTGTGCATAAGGTATAGATACGATTTGCCATACTCATTCATTAGTCACATTACACGTAGTTTAATCTGGCATCTCGACTACCTTTTGCATAGACCAACAAGCATCTCATTATATTCATTGATCTGCATTATGCCTCTCAAATATGATCCCGACTTCTTTGAAGTTCTGAAACCGCTTTTGCCCACTTTGTCGCAAGTACCACCACTGGCGGCGCACGACATCGATGGCCGTCGCCAACGGCATGAAGCACAAATTGCACAATCCAATATCCCAGAAGCCCCTGGAGTTGCTATTGAGGAATTGAAATTTCAATCGTTCGATGGAGCTCTTATCACAATTCTTCGAGTCTACCCCACGGAAGAATTCGCCAACGGCAAAATTACTCCAGCATATCTCCACGCTCACGGAGGAGGAATGATGTTCGGCGCGGCAAGAAATTACATAAATGCTCAGGCGCACACTGTTGCGGCTACGCGAATCCCCATGTTCTCAGTAGATTATCGCAAAGCACCTGAGCATCCCTACCCGACTCCCATACAAGATGCGTATGCGGCCTTGTTATGGATCCAAGAGCATGCTTCTACTTTCAACATTGATCCATCACGTATCGGCGTTACCGGAGAGTCGTCTGGAGCTGGCTTGGCAGCTGGGGTGGCCATTATGGCTCGCGACAAAGGGCTCTCCCCTCCCCTTCGTAAGCAGGTGCTCATCTATCCGATGCTGGACGATAGAAATACCACTCCTCTTCCGGATGTGGAGCAAATGGCATTTTGGAAAGTTGACGATAATCTAACCGGGTGGACTGCTCTTCTTGGAGAGCATATTGGTAAAAAAGACGTCTCGCCCTATGCCGCTCCCGCACGGTTAACTTCGGCGGAAGGGTTGCCCCCGATTTATGCAGACGTTGGAGATCTGGACATATTCAAATTCGAAATCATCGACTACGTGCAGAAATTTGTCAAGGCTGGTATCAGTGCAGAGTTTCATCTGTATCCTGGACTTCCACATGGCTGGGAGGGCTTGGCTCCAATGATACCAGCCACTATGAGAGCGGCAGCGAATCGGAACCGGGCATTACTTGATATATGATTGACCTGTGTAGCTTTCAACTGAATTGATGCGCCTCTTTTTCCTCAAGATATCGATCATAGCATTTTCTGCGTGAGATCTAGGTATCACGCGTTTAGTTCCAAGGTTGCATTATTAGGACAGCTGACCCCTCAGCTGCACTCGTCATCTATCACATCCCCAACGCCTCAAGCTAGCCATTTCATGCAAGGAAACAAGATGAGAGTCGCAACAATCTTATAATTTGGTCAATTTCACATTTGAGTCCTCTCACGTATTAGGTAAAGGACTACTATTTGACATCTTACGATATCATTTTTGAAGTATTTAACAGCTAATAAAAGCTTGACCTATGAAGCATCCATTGTCTCGGTCTGCAAGGCTTGGCTATTGATGATGTTGTTTCATATCGAGTAGTCACCGTGTAGGATATCATCGTATTATATTTGGATGCGACGAGTTGTTGTTGTTAATTCCATGTCCTTCATGGGGCTGCATATGAATACGGGATAGTCACCTCGATGACCACGGGGATATATTCCATCTGATCCCTACAGATGGACTACAATAAATTTTTCACTGGAAGACCAATATTTCTTAGACCGCTAGCCAGGGGGGCTACTAAAGCGTTTGTTTCATTCAAGCCTTCTCCGAGGCTGGTCGTTGCTCTGGTTGCTATGAGAGCTCCCCCATCTTCCCCAGCTCCAGGTGCACCAATGATCATCATTGATGCGATATATAGCTACAGTTACGCATGAACTCACGAAAAAAAGAAATACATAGGCTTTTCGAATAAAAGTTTGTCTCTAAAACCTCAATTGCCCAAGCTTTGTTGGATCCTTTCGAGAACTTCCATAATGCGACTGAGCCGGATAATAACTTTGGAGACATGAAAGACCCGTTGTCGACAAGAGTGTTCTATTTACATCTTGACAAAGTATCTGTTCTTGCGATTATGAGGCCACTTAACTGTCCCTGAACCATGGCGCTGAGGTGGGAACTATCGAAGCTTTTGCAAGGCAAAATAAAAATCGCCCGACTAGCTATAAGAAAACCAACAACAGCCAGTTCGATGCTATATTGGCTTCTGGTATGCATTTATCAACTATCTATTACACCCCTGATACACACTAAAGCCAGCATTTGTCGGTATAGTAATTGGCAGCAGAAGTCTCACAAAGGTTAGGCGGTATATAGTTGAATTCTCCTATTTGCACCATAGTATATTCCTATTTGAACTGAAGTAAGCTATGCACTGCATTGTGTAACTTGTTTGCAAAACTGCTCTAAAACCAATTATACCTTTCACTAATAAAATAATAGCTTATATAAATGAAAATAATAATTTAAAAAATTTAAGCTTTCTAAAACTTAATTTTATATAAACCTTTTTTATATGTAATCCTAATAAAGTATATAAAATATAAATATTTTAAAAAAAAAACTAGTTATTAAAAGTTTAGATTTAGATTTTTCTAAACAAAAATACTATAAGTGTTTATAATTTTATAATAATTTAAAAATATATTTTAATATATATAATATAAACATAAATATTAATTTATTAAAATATATTTTAATATTAAATAATGTAAAAAATGTTAAAATGTTTAAAAAATAACAATAATATAATATAAAATCTTCAATAATATAATATAAATATATATATATATAAAGAAAAAAAAAAAGAAATAGAAAAAAAATTAAATATTAATAAAATATATAATATATATAAATCTTTTTTTTTAAGAAAATAATAATATATAGTTTTATATAAATTACTAATTATTTTAATAATATATATATATAGTTTAATATTTAGAAAAACTCTTATATTAACTTATATAATAATGCAGAGCTTATACTAAGCTTACCATTGTAATCCTTGTTAGATGCAAAGCCGCGGAATTGTGGGCTAATCTGACGAGAACACCCCCAGCACCTCTTGGTGGGGATGGGTGCTCCTCTGTTGCTTACTGGGGGCTGAGTACCATGGGTAGATAGACCAGCATCGTAACCAGATAGAGAGATTATAAGCACAATGCTAATAAGTCTTCAACGAACTTGGAATACTCCTTGTTCCAAACTCAGAGCAGAAGAAAATTCCATCTGAGGATTGCGATATTGCAGAGTTTCAGATCTACTCATTTGAATCACTGTGCCGGACGATTATTTCAGTGGGTAAGGTAGTTTCTCTCTCTATAGTCTGTAGTGAAGTGGACAAGCCAGGGGTTACTGCTGAGGGCATCCCTCCCATTGGGGCTGACTGTCCGCAGTCTCCGATGATAAAGCAAATTAAATGTACTCGTTACTTGCATGCTGCTTTTCCTCTTTTTGAAAAGATTGTACGGAGTAGCCTAAGCATCCTCCTCTAGCAAGCTTCTTTTGCACTCCAGGTTTGCGCCAACGGTTTTTCTCAATTGTTCGTTCTATGTTTCTTCTTTCAACCGACTGGCGAAAAGTTAGTTTTGTTTATCCAATACTTTTAGCATTTCATCTTTCCTACTCTTTTTTTTTTTTAATTGCCAACTGTTAGGGATCTCCTCGACCGGCATACTTCAATCCAAGATGCATTTCTCATCCCTTGGGACGAGACTTCTCAACTTTGCCCAATCACAACCAGATTACTCACAAAAACCGATCGGGTTCAGCTGGCGCAGCAATAAGATCTTCATTGCAAGCTCGGTCGGCGCTGGCCTCTTTACTGATCTCTTTCTCTACGGTCTAATCGTCCCGGTACTGCCTTTCATGCTCGTCGATCATGTGGGCATGCCTCAAGACCAAGTCCAAGGACATGTTTCGAGCCTACTAGCAGCTTATGCCGGCGCGTCTGTCCTCACCTCTCCAATAGCCGGTGTCATTACCGACAGGTTCAGGTCAAGACGAGCACCTTTTCTGCTTGGGGTGACTTTCTTAACGGCAGCTACTACGTTGCTTGTTCTGGCGCGTACCATCGCTTTACTCATCGTCGCAAGAGCTCTGCAAGGAGTCAGTGCATGCTTTGTATGGTCTACTGGCATGGCACTACTGTTCGAGACAGTCGGAGCCGCAGATTTGGGGAAATACATCGGAGCTATCTTTGGTGTCATCTCTATTGGAACGCTATTAGCACCTATGCTCGGCGGGATACTGTACGAGAAGGGAGGCTTGGCAGCTGTTTTCATACTCGCATTTGCCATCTTGGCCACTGATTTTATTTGCCGCTTGGTTATCATCGAGGCAAAGGATGCTGAGCAGTACAACAAACTCGACTACACCAACTCATCATCTGGCGAGGACAGATTTGGTGTGGACAACGATGCAACGGAAGATGCCACCCCCGTAGATGAGGCAACGCGACTTCTCTCTACTCCGACCACGAACGATGACGAGGATCCGTACAAGATTTCACCGAATTTGCCTGCAATCTTCCGATTCATCCCAATTCTACCATGTCTTGCAGCCCCTCGTCTTATCGCAGCCCTCACCATCGCTTTTGTCCAAGCTATCTTGATTGGAAGCATCGACGCAACTGTTCCCCTTGTCTCCGAAGAATACTATGGATTCTCATCCCTCCGAGCTGGCCTGATGTTCTTGCCTATTGGTATTGCCAACCTCATTTTTGGCCCTTTCTTGGGTCGGTGTGTCGATAAACTTGGGCCTAAGATGGTGGCTGTCAGTGTGTATCTGTACCTTGTTCCCGTTCTAGCCTGCTTCCAATTCGTACACCCAGGTGGAAGACAGGAAGTAATACTATACGAAGCTTTGCTTGGCCTCGTAGGAATAGGAATGGCAGGCATGGGGGCACCGTCGATCATTGAAGCGAGCACAGTAGTAGCCAAGTATCACATGGCTAATATGGATTTCTTTGGGCCAAACGGTCCTTATGCGCAGCTGTACTCTCTGAACTTCTTCTTTTACTCACTTGGATTGGCTGTCGGTCCAGAATTAGCTGGTCACTTGAGGGAAAAAATTGGTTATGGTTGTATGAACGCAGCTCTGGCTGTCATTTGCGCTGTGGCAGCTTTGGTATGCTTCTTTTTTATTGGGGAGAAGAAGAGCAAAAGGTCAGATAGCACCAGTACATAAGATAGATAGGTATTCGCATAATAGTGGTTGAGATTGATATACCAAGTGCACACAGAAGGGCAAGTGTAATAAAAGCTGTGGGATATGCATATATCAAGGGCGAATTTCCATAGCTCCAAAGAGGTAGTATCAAGGAATAATTTCTATGTTTATTCATTTTCCCTGCAGTTTTCCCACTAAGGCAACGGTTGGTAGCCTAGTACATGTAGTCTAAATGTTCCGGCGCATAATACATGCTAAAGCTTTCTTTATCATCCATTCCGGTTGCCCCATGTCTTAAATGTTGTAATACACGAATGAAGCTCTATTAGAAATGCAGTTGCTCTGTAATGCTCCCATAGATCCGTCGCTTCTCTTCTTTCGCCGCCGATGGCCCATGCCAGGACAACGTATGAGTTCGACGCCCATCAGTAGGCGTTCTTCGCATTGACCTAAACAAGTCTGCAAAGTCCTTGCTGCCAAGCTTATCGTAGCACTTTGCAATCTCCGCGACAGTTTGATCGCTTGGTCCACGTTCGCGACGGCTGTAGATAGAGATTCCATAGGAAACGTTCAGCACACCTGTGGTGGAGGCGTCGTAGTCAACAAAATAAGGAGCGCCTTGCTCGTAAAAGTCGAAACCCCATCCTACCCAAGCAGTGTTGTCGGTTTCTGCCATAATGTCAGCAGGGATGGTGTAATTCCAAGCATAAACCTCCCCTGGAAGGGGAGTGTCGGTTCCAGGAGTGATGATAACTGTGTCGTTGTCGCCCATTTGGAAAGAATTCACATCCGCAATAACGGTTGGTTCGATGTCCGACACGAGATTGCCTTTTACCTCGCTGTGGAGAGGATACCATTCATTCTATTCAGATTCGGTCAATCGCTATTGCTTGCTCCTTACTAGCTCTCTCTGATTGTAGCCAACTCACCTGCATGTTCAGCCAGTCCCAGTAGAGCTCGATGCTTGTCCAAGCCAAAGCCCATTTGCCGTAGCCAAATCCAAAGGGAGGCTCTACCCACGGCTGTTCTACGGTAACTTGATCGAGAAAAGTTGCATTGACTGCTCTGGGAGGCAATCTGAAGGTAGCACATGGATCATCAAGCAGATCTCGAGGCGACGGAACCGACACAACCGTACCGACGGCGGTGCCAATTGCAATGCCTAAGCTTAGAAGGGATGCTGTCGTTTGAAACATCATGGTGGTGCCGCGCTCCGAAAGGGTTTTCCTCTGCTCACAAGGCAATTGAAAAGGCGCGAATGTTAGAAGTTCTCCGGTTTAACGTACGAAATAGGAGAAAGTAAACAAAGGCAGGACCTACTCTCGATGTGCTTAACATGTGCAAAGAGCTGGGGATCTACATGTAACTAGCTTGCACGTTCAGGGACGTCGTTTGTGAATCTCGCGTGAATTCGTAGGTGATCAGGGGTGATCACATGCTCTGAAAATCCTTCGTTTAGGGAACAGCTGGGCAAGTATAACCTCCCCTATTCTTAGGGGGGAAATTAGCTATTTTAAGGAGGTAAAGTATACTAAATAAATGAATTTTTAATAGCGATGCACTAACGGAAAAATACTAAGATTTTAAAATAATAAATTTAAATTAATATATTATTTTATATTAAATTGTTTTATAGAAAAATTATATATTGTAAAATAAAATATAAAATATTTTAAATAAAATAATTAATAATAAAATAAAGTATTTTAAATAAAATAATTAATAATAAAATAATATATTAAATTTAATTTCAAACAGTTGATTTTTTTATTTATTAATAATATTTGAAAAATATGATATATTTATAAAGTATAAATATTAAAATATAATATAATAATAAAAATATATATTATAATATTTATAATTACATTAAATTTTATAAATATTAATAATAAATTATATTGTTAAATTATAAAATTTAAATAATCCCTTTTATATATATATTAAATACTAAATTTATAGTTATTTAACTTTTAATTTTATAATTTAACTTTATAAAAAGTTTTAAATTTAAAAAGTTTTAAAATAATATAATATAATAATTTTATTTATTATTATTATATTTACTATATTTTATATTTATACTTATATATATATATATATATATATATATATATTAATACTTTTTATTTTATTTATTATTTTATATTTAAAATAGTATTTACTTTATATCTTTAATACAATACAATATAAACTAAAATATTAATTTATAAGAAAAATATTTTATTTTTTAACTTTTTTATTAATACAATAATATTAAAAACTTATTTATTAAGTATCCTTTACTTCATTGAAAAAGCTAATTTCCCCCTTTAAAATAAAGGGCGGGTAAGAATACACCCCTAGCACCTCTCTTATGCATAAGCGGACTCCACTTAGCCATTTTTGAATCCAAAAGAGATGCTGGCTACTCTCATAGCGGCTTTCGCATTATCTTTAAAGATATACAATGGCTCTACCTTTTTTTTTTCTCACTGAACTTGACTTTCATTCCTCATTCTCTCCGTACAGCTTACTCAAACTTACTGTACCGTACGCAGTTTCTTCCACAACATGGTTTGTATCAAGGCCGAGACTTTGCGTTAGCTTTATTTATAAAAGTTTGCGGTATGAGGGTGGGGTTATCTAAACTGGCGCCGAAGCCATCGAACCCCGAATAGTAACCAAAGAAAGTCAAGCTCGGGTCGGTTTCGTAGCACGTCGGCATAATTGTTTGGCAGAATAACCTTGGGCCCAGTTCCTGTTATCATCTAGAATGAACCAGAGAATTGCTTCAACTCTGCAGCGGTGGCTTTATTGGCATTCTTGAGATAGCCATCCTTGGGGCTGAGTCCTTCTCTGGGGAGTATTGCCACAGAATATCCAGAGAGAGGACGGACGCTCAGGTGCAAGCAATTTCATCGAACACATATTTCCCAAACAGAAGTACGCTCCTCACAGCAAGAATCTGAATGTAGACAGAGATCTCGACTACCAGCAACGGTGCGTGTGCCGTCGCTCACGGTTGCGTTCATTTTGGCCAGTGAAGCCCAAGAAGTCATTTCGACAAAGAAACAAGCAACAAAGAAAGTGGCGGTCCAGTGTAATTCTCTCGTACAAAGCGGAGTTAGCTACATGTACTTACCGTACCAGACCCCTATTTGTATTTCTCATGATCTAAACTGTTTCTGCTTAAGCGAGAGCATAGATAGATGGCACATTCACAAAAAAGGAAAATACCTTGATAGCTGCATATGTACCGATTCAAGAATTCGATAACGCAGGTCAGTTATTTGATCATTGAACATGATTGACACTTTTCTTCTCTACCTTGGAAGCGAGATCGCGGAGAATGGTATACTAGAATAGGCTCGTGGAGCAAGCCCGAGAAACGATGGAAGCATGGCACCCTTCAAGGAGGTGCAAAGGGTGGGCTGTGGGGCTGACGATGCAATCGGTTGAAAGTTTTATGACTAGAATAGGAATAGTATGTGAAGGGTTCTGCGACATTGACGGGGTGGTTGTGAAACCCGAACCGATAACTATTCTCATCTAAGGTGTAGAGGGTGTTTACTACCACTATTATGGAGTCGGTGTCCAATGGCACATGGTGAAAAATCACGGCGGTTGGGTTACTTGCATATTTTTCGATCCCAATATATTCATGCAAGTAAAGTAGGGTTCCTGTGGGGCTTTCAGACATTCAATTTGGATGAGCAATAGGGCATACTGTTCTTAATGTGGTGAGCTTAGTTTATTAGAGGATGAAGAAGAGCTCAACTCGCGAGAGGCATATTGAGACCTAGTAGTAAACAATCCATTATCGACAGCAGCATCTACCATGACAGGTACATCCAAGTATAAGCTAAACCACACCATGCTCAGGGTTAAAAGTACGAATTTGACATACACCTGTACAAGAAATTATGTGCATTTGCTCAGATCAGATTCTAATCAATGATACCATCTATCTAGACCCTGAGGCAAGCGTCAAGTTCTATAAGCAACTTGGCATGTCTGTGCTACAAGAGTTTAGATTCCCAGATTTCAAGCTTGATTTGTATTTTCTTGCCTACGGTGAGTTTTGAATATATCTTACTTCTTGAGCAATTATTCTGACGAGGCATATAATGTAGACAATCAAGGATCCGTCTCACAGGGGAGACATATGAGTGATCGAGAAGGGGTCATCGAACTTAGCTACAATTATGACGTTGAGAGAACACATAATGGAAACATGGATCCCAAAGGTTTCGGCCATATCTGTGTCTCGGTATATGATCTGGAGTCTGCCTGCGATCGATTATCCAAAGCAGGATTCCACCATCAACAGTCTCAACACGGGTTTACTTATGTCCTGGATCCAGATGAGTACTGGGTGAAGCTCATCTCACAGAATGATGCGGTTACAAATCCGGAACCCAAGACAACCAACATTGAGAAATATAGGTTCAATCATACCATGCTTCGTGTCAAGGACAAGAACGCTTCTCTCGAATATTATCAAAATGTATTTGGCATGATGCTGCATCACACTCACCACAATCTCGACCAAAATTATGAAAGTTTCTTCCTCGGATACTGCAAGCCTAAACTGGGCAAAGAAGTTTCCGAACCTAATCCTGATCCGCTTCAAGAAACGTTACTCGAGTTGGTTTATATCCCCGGGAGCGAGGAACATGTGCAATACCACAATGGTAATACTGACCCAGAAGGGTTCGGCCATATTTGTGTCTCTGTGGATGATATTCAAGAAGCGTGTAAACGATTCGAAGAGAAGGGGGTTCGCTGGCACAAACGTCTCGAAGATGGGCCGTTCAGGATCGCATTTATCCAGGATCCAGATGATTATGTGAGTGAATACTTCTTAGTAGCTGCGAGAGAGTAGCTGAAACCTTCGAATTTACTGACTGAAGTGCGTAGTGGATAGAAATCATACAGAACGAAAGCTACAAGCCAGCAGGACATAACATGTAAGATACGAGAGTGAAGGGTAGATAGAAAATACAAGCCAGTGAGAAGTATGAGGCAGTTTCAAAAATGCTCATTATGAATGCAACAGGTGGAAGGTTGAAATAGAATTACCAAGGTTTTTGGAGTCTTCAGAGTGAAAAAAGAAACACTGCCATTACAATATCTTAGTTTACTTCTTCCTCTGTCCTTCAATGCATGTTTTCCATTTACTTCTAGTTCACTACCCTTTTTTTGTTCTTTTTGTGCCATTATCATCACATATCTATACAAGTCCACCTCCGATTAAGGACTGCCTGCCGAGAGAACAGCAACTACTCTGTTGGATTAACCCAGCTCCCAAGCTTAAGGCCCCCATTTGAATTGATAAGCTCGACTATGTAGAATAGAAAAATTATATTTGCCTTGTACCAAAGCATAACTAGCTATTCCAACCCCTAAGGTGCTAAGGGTGTCAAGGGTGTCAAGGGTGTCAAGGGTGTGGGGGTGTGTGCCCGCAAGCCCAAGGTGTACATATTCCGTCCTTCCGTTGGCAATAAACCGCATATCAAACACAACATGTAATCAGGAGTAAACAATATCTAAAACTTCGGCACTTTATTTGAAATACTGAAGCCCACCTTTTGATTACTATAGGGAGTCTGCAAGGCTGAGTAAGTAAGATAGTTCACAAAATACGTTATGCCCCGAACCTCCACTTCATAGCTCCGATCTTTATCAGACATTATCGCAGAACCCCGCACGGGGTCTCAAAAAAACAGAACACACTCCACACCCAAAGGTTGTGACCTCGTGTGTTCCTTTTTTGGGGGCCCCGGGACCCCCGATGCATATCGCATCTCGAAGACAATCAGGGTTAGTACAATAGCACTTTACGATCAGTAACTTGTTTGGATGGATATATGTATCACGCCTCAGATGACGGCCAATTGCTGCGTTCAGTACTCCGTATATCGCTTGATAATCTGTGTTCATATATACACGCGGCAGGGAATATTCATAGTTATCTGCAAACAATATACGACTTTTCCCTAAGAATCGAATTGTTTGACTTTAATTTCGCCGAGCTTAACCTCATCATTCTGTAACCATAGTGCGCTCTTCCAGAATTGTTGGATTACTCTTTTCGTCTTACCACCATGGCTCAAGCAGTTTGTCCCAGTTGGAACGTTCTAGAGTCCTCAGAATGGGCACTCATCAATGGGTCTACCAACCCTAGTACGATGTATCGAAATCCAAAGTATGTTACTTCTCATGACCGACTACGTGTGTGATGTAGACTATTGACAGTTTCCCAGAAGTTCTGAGTCGATTCAGTCAGCCCTTGATCAGTTGCTATATATACTACATGAATTGTGGTTTGCACATGGCTTTGGACTTTGGGTTTCGACAATATGTGCCTTGATTATCACTGCGTATGGGATTAAAAGCGGTTCAAGAAGCGGCTTGAAATGTGTTCTGTCTCTTTTATTTTTAGTTTATCTTAACCCCAAACTGAAAGAACATGTTTGAAGAAATGTTTGTTTCCAACTACATCGGACTCATAAATACGTGAGAATTTGGTTTCGATCATCCATAAGGTCAAGCAAAGATCAGAGCTATAATGTCTAGAACCCCCCCTAGTCTACTACAGGGACTTTAGCTCAGCTCAGTGTGAAGCCTTTAAGCTCTGGCTCAATTGCATCCCAGATCTCTTTCCTGTACATGGGTAGACCTCCGGCCCAAATGAGGGTTTCACGTCGCTTTCCAGGTACATTTAGTCTAAGCATAAAAAGTCAGTGAAATTCACCTTCCAGCGATTCGTAATGAAAATACTCACCCAAGATACCAACTTCCCTCCACCTTCTCCCTCAAAGTCCATGCATGGATCATATTGATCTTCTCCCTCCACTTTTGTTCCGCATCCACGGTAGCATCAACCCGAGTAGCTCCTTTCTCCTTCATCTTTCTCATTACGTCTAGCATCCAGTGCGTCTGTGACTCAACAACGGCAGGACCAGTTGCATATGCCGTAGGGGACAGTGGGCCATAAGCGTAAAACATATTCGGGAAGCCTGAGACCATGAGACCCAAATAGGAGGTTGTTGAGTCTTTCCATTTCTCCTCCAAAGTAATTCCGTCAAGGCCAGTCATTTCGATCTCACGGAACCCTCCCGTCACAGCATCATACCCTGTGGCCAGGATAATATAATCAGCTTCATGAAGTTTTCCATCAGAAGTGACAAGTCCATTGGCAGCCACCTCGACCACTGGGAATTTTTTGGCATCTACCAAAGTGACATGAGGCTTATCCATCTGTTCGTAATATCCGGTCTCGAGGGAAGTCCTTTTCCCGGCGAATGGATGTGGTGGCTTGAGCGGTGCCAAGAGCTCAGCCTTCTTCTTATCTGTCATACGTTCATGGGTCTTCCGGCGCCAGAAATTATAAATCACATCATTGCCTTCTTGTGTGCCCAACACATCAATGTATCCTTGGAAGAATACTCGAAAGCCACCGTAGTCATACATCTCTTGGAGCACGGCCTCTTGTTGCTCTGGGGTATCATCCATTACGCAACGACTCGTTTCTTCGAAGAGAAATCCTCCGACGGTGGTGAAGCGAAACTCCCCCAGAAGATAGGGCAGACGGTGCCTTTCCTCATCGGCTTTCACAGGGTCGATTTTCCTCGACACCATTGGCCATGACAGATTTGGGGTGCGAACGAAGCATGTCAGAGCACCAGCTGTTTTGGCTACCTCCTGGGCAATCTGAACGCCAGTTGCTCCTGTTCCCACAATAGCCACTTTCTTGCCTGTGAGATCCAAGCCAGCCGGCCAATCATCAGGAGTAATGATCTTGCCATTGTAGACATCCCTCATGCCAGGCCATGAAGGTTCAAGTCTTTTTGAGGAGAATCCGAGACAAGGCATGTAGAATTGGGCGGTAAATGTTGTTCCTTGATCAGACTCAATCTGCCACTTGTCGGTAGCTTGGTCAAATGTGGCTTTGGTAATTCTTTCACCATAGATTGTGTCTTTACTGATGTCACAGACTTTGTCGATGTGTTGAAAGTAAGCTTTGATTTCCTGGTCGCTTGCGTACTCTTCTGACCAAGTCCAGGTGTTGTATACCTCCGGAATGTTCAGACAGTAGGTAGAGATTGGTGTGTCAGTACGGGCACCGGGGTAAGAGTTCCAATGCCAAACTCCCCCAAGGGCGGTTCCTGCTTCAACAATCTTCGCTTTGTAGCCTTCTTTGCGAAGTTGGTAAAGTAAATACACCCCAGCAAACCCGGCACCAACGATCACGGCATCTAAATCATGATGATCATGTCCCAAATCCCCATTCAATTTGACACCGTTGGTATGACCGTTGGTATGGCCATTGACTTGGCCGTTCGTTTCACCATTCATACTGAAGATTGCCAGAAAGCAGATAAATAAGGCTTCTTAGCGTTAATTTTCACGAGTTGAAAATGGAAGAGCACGGATTAAGGCAGGAAAATACCAAGATCGGAAGAGTGGGCGGCTGGGTGGATAGCAACCTTGTCGGAGGCGGTGATGCGCCCCTCTGGGATCAAGCCACCTCTGGTGATGTATATACTCTGCTTTATATATAACACGTGGACTTACGATGGAAGAAGGCAAAAATACGCCTTGGATATGAAGCAAGGAATGGTATAGAGGATGAGCTGCGAAAAAGTGTCCAATAGTATTAAACTAACGAGCAAGCCACTTGTTAAAGAACGGATGGTAGATGGTGGAACGACGCCGTTAATCGGGTCTTGAGATTTCTAATTTAGCATAGAATAGGTAGTTTAAAAATAAATTGAAAATGAATTGAAAATGAATTGAAAATTAAAAGATATTTAAAATTAACATTTAATTTAAAATTAAAAAAATTTTTTTTTTAAAAAAAAAACAGACAATTGTAACTAAGAAAATAAAGTATGATAAAGTAGGAACTATTTAATTTAATACTAAAAGACAACTTAGGCTATATCCCACAAAGATTACAAAAGTTAGTTTAGTATATATTTTGTTATATTACATAAAGAAAAGTATAATATATTGAGTTGCTATACTTTACTTACTATTTTATTAAAGGTACTAAAGTAAAATTTATATATTTTTTAAACACTTAGATAATTAAAATGTAAGAAAATCTAAGGGATATTGCATATATACTAAAATAAATATAGAAATAAATACCCTTAACTTAATATATATTTATAAATACGTTACGCTTAGCAGTATCCTGCTTATAACAGAGGATTTAATAACTAATTCTATTTTAAGTTTAGTTTAAAAAGGTTTTATCTTACTAAATAAAATATAGAAATCCTACTTTTAATAAAATATAAATTAGTAAAGTTAAAATGGAAATTTATAACTGCTTTTTAATATAATATATCATTTGAAAAGTATACTAAAAATAAAAACATACTATAACTTAATATAATAAATATTAATATAAAAAATTAATAAGTATTTTATTATTTATATATAATTTAATATTAATGAAAACTTTAATCTTAACTTATGTAATACAACAGGGCCTATGCTAAGTTAACTTTTGTAATATTTATAGGGAGTATAAAAATATATAAGTTAACGTTAGATCTAGGTAAGTTAATAATATTTACATTGCTACGTAAGATCGTGGGTAGAATAGAAGGAAAAGCCTACCTGAAGCTCCAAACAGCCCTGAAAATGTGGAAACAGTATGGAAACCGTAGAAGAGGGGGAATGGTGTACTCCGTAAGAACGAAGAAAATAAGTAATAGTATCGAGCCACTTACAGCCTGGTCTCCTGCGACTTGGGCTCAGAATTACTTATTCTCCACTGTAATATAGCGCCATTCTAGCCCCCTTGGCGTAAAGCCGCACCTAATTTAGGTCTTACAATCTCACTTGCAGCGACTGGTTGCTTTTTTTATGGAGGCAAACTGCAGCGGTGCAAAGGGTGCAAATGAAGATCCCGAAGGAATAGTATATCGTCGGAAATGGGCGAAAATGTAGCGCTCACCACAAGTCTAGGCCAAAAGAGTGACAAGCCAATTCGAATACACGAAACCTCCTACCAATCACATACGGCATTGAGGACAGATTGTGCTGGCTCCGTGAGATTCTAGTGCGCTTGCTGCTCTTATTCTTTTATGCGTAAAGCAGCGTCGATGGTCGAGCTTTGGCTGATATCGTATCATACGCAATTCTTTTTTTTTTTTTTTTTGGAAAGTCGTTATCTGTCGAACATATTGAGAGGGGTTTTGTTACGACTGAACAAGTCGCTTTTTTTTTCTTGGGGGGCCGGGGCCGTGTATTAGATTGGCGGAAGCACTCATTGTAATTTGACTTCACTCCGTCTTCCCACAACTCTACTGATTTATTACGATCGGTACCGAATCAGTGCAGGATCCTACACAGTTTAAACTAAATCAATAAGAATAATAAAACCTAGATCAAGTAGGCACTGTCTCTGTGATGAAATGTTAGATGCTCTCTAGGGAAAGCCAAGTTTACATAAACATGGATGGTAGCTTGTCGCTGTAGTCAACCCTTGTGAAGCCAATCGTTTGATCAATTGCAATTGTTTTATCAAAGGAGAAAGAAATCACGATAACTTTATTAACTTTCTCTAATTGTCTAGGCATAGTGTAACGGACAGACTGTCACCTACATAATAACAGCCACGCGAAGGAAGGGGCTGTTTTTTTTTTTTTTTTTTACAAAAGAAAAAAAATCACAATAGGAGGGAGATACACCTGCAACTTTGCATCCGCCCGACCGCGAAAAATAATGCAGTGCCTCCATCACAAGCATAGTGACGACGACAATTATCTATAGTCCAAACGTACCGTCTGAAAAGAGTGTTGTACATGAGTAGACATACAGTACAAAGGCTTATGAGTGAATGCGCCGCTTGCTCCGTCCTCCAAATTTCTAAGTGCATTTAGAGGTGCATTTAGTGGATGTGCGCTGGAATGGGATTGTGCTTGCCTACCGATTCACATTCACGGTGGCATGATCTCTAAATCTGACTAGGCTACTACTGTAATACAATTTGCACCTTAAAGTCAAGCAACTTTAAGCACCCAAATGCAGCTATGGTATTGTGTGGAGGAGAGGGTGTAAAGGGTGCACGTCCAATTCACTTTGAACAAGCCTGTTTTATTTAACCTTTTTTTTTTTTCCTGTCTTGTTATCCTCTGCCTCTATTTCGTTTACTTTTGCATTCACATTTTCATTCTTATACAGTTACAGTTATCTTCTCTGTTTTTTGGAATTTTAGAATCTGGTTTCGCCAAACCCGAACACCACGCACAGGCAGTAGCCATGGCCCAGCTTGAGGGTTTCCAGCCACTGACGTTGCTTCGCGACGCGACACCATCCTCTCTCAAGTCTTACATGGCCGATTTGGATATTGCTTCATTCCAGGATGTGCTGAAACGCATTTCAACATTTTTGCAAGAATTGCTCTCTCCAACCAATATTGGTACTATGCAAGAGGCATCGCCGTACTTTGCGTACGCGGGTGGTGCCATTGTCGCCCTATACCTGCTCTACCGCTGGGCATTACCCAAGCCGATTCCAGGCATTCCCTACAACCCGGAGGCAATCAGATCTCTGCTTGGCGATGTCCCATCCATGGTACAACATGTGGGCAAGACACAGGAAGTACATTCTTGGATGAGCGCACAGAATGTCAAGTTAAAATCGCCGATTGTCCAGCTGTTCAACCGTCCATTCGGTCGTCCCTGCGTCGTCGTTACCGACTTCCCAGAGGCACAAGATATCCTGGTTCGTCGTACAAAAGAGTTTGACCGCTCTAAATTTATTGCAGATGTTTCTGGTGGTATTGTGCCTGAGAGTCACTTTGTTATGCAGACGAATGACAAATTCAGGAAGCACCGCAAATGGATACAAGGTATCATGGCTACAGGCTTTCTTCAAGATATTGCTGCACCCTTTGTACATGCGGCTGGCCTTGATTTACTGCAGTTGTGGGAGGAGAAGGCAAGACTATCCAAGGGTCATGCGTTTGCTGCGGCCAACGATGTTTACTGCACAACCATGGACTCCATTTGGCCCATTGTCTTTGGAAAAGATCCGGCCAACAGTAACAGTAAAGCACAGCTTCGTCTATATCTTACCGTGAAAGAGGTTGATGTCCCTAGCGATCCAGATGCGCCCATAACTTTGCCCAAGGCACCGCATCCGGATATTATGCAGTCTATTCTGAATATTATGCACAGCGTCGAAGCATGCATCAAGTCGCCGGTACCTGCCTTAGCACACTGGATGCTGAGGCAGACGCCGACACTAAAGAAATCATTTCGAGACAAGGACGAGCTTATTCAAAAAGAAATTCGCAGAGCGGTTGATCGGGCTATGGCAGCCTCCAAGGATGGCAAAGAAGCCCAAGTACAATGCGCCATTGATGATATAGTGATTCGAGAATTTCAACTCGCCGACAAGGAGAACAGATCTCCAGAGTTTTTCTCACGAGGCATATCCGACGAGGTATGTCTGTTCTTATTTTATTATTCCATATTACGCCGTTCCTATTTTTCTCTCTTAACTGGAGTTTTAATACCTTATCCTTGCTAATGGATTGTGGTTTTATAGATTCTCGGATTTGTAGTTGGTGCTCAGGATACTACAGCTACATCTGTTACATGGGCACTCAAATATCTCGCCGACCATCAGGACGTCCAAACGAAGCTACGGAACGAACTACGAAAGGCACATAGTGAAGCTGCGGCGGACGGCCGCGCACCCTCAGCGGCAGAAATTACTACGACTATCATTCACTATCGTGATGCTGTAGTGGAGGAAATCTTCCGCTGTTCTTTGACAGAGGCATCTTCTGTTCGGACAGCTGTTGTGGACACTCAGGTGTTGGGCTGTTTTATTCCCAAAGGCACCGAGGTATTCCTCATGGGCAATGGTCCTGGCTTCTTCTCTCCGGAATTCGAAATCGACGACTCACTACGAACTAAGTCATCTCTAGAGTCAAAGGACAAGGTGGGCAGCTGGGAGCACAGTGACATGGCTATCTTCAATCCGGACCGGTGGCTGGTAACAAATGCAGCAGGGCAGACAGAATTCGACGCCGCAGCTGGGCCGATGTTGACCTTTGGGCTCGGAGAAAGGGGATGCTACGGTCGCCGGATGGCTTATGTGCAGATGAAACAGCTTCTTACACTAATTGTGTGGAAGTTTGAGCTTCACAAATGCCCAGAGGCTTTGAGCAGCTATGCAGCGACGGACAAGATGGCACATATGCCGCAATTTTGCTATATCCGACCGGTGAAAGCAAAGTGGTAAATTTTGGTCTAACATTTGCATCTTGTGTTTGTTCCTTAGCTGCTATTTGCCATACATGTTGAATTGTATTGTAATATGCTAAACGTATAAAAGCAAAATTTAAACCATCAGCCCTGTTTATCACTATATTTTCGTGTTTACACATGGTTTCTTATATTTCGGATATAGTACGATTTGAAATCGAAGTCCTACAGGTTTTTGCCCACCGCTGAAATCTATAATCCTGCTGTCGTTTGCACATCATAATCCCCTTGGAGGTCAGAAGGCTTCAAGCATAAAATCCTGCATATTTATTAGATAGTAAAACGTCCGAAAACAAGTACTTAGATCAGCTAGTAATTTTGGTGGTGCCAGAAGCACTGGCATTTATCGGTTCTACATATAGATATAGAGAACATTGCACTGTTTATATTCACTACGCAGCTTTAGTACTTTTAGCCAATTTTACTTATTATAACTTACGAGTATATCGCCAAACAGTGCCATAGTTGTTATTGCTCTCATTCTTTATTATAGAGTAATTTTGTTACGACTCGATATAAAGCCAGGCGGTGAACACCGGCAGAATACTACGGAGCGGATATTTAGCTACTAGAATTGGAAACCACAACCACTTAACTATATTAAAGGAAGTCAAGTATAACAGTATCAACCAGTAGAGAATGCTACAATAATATAAAGGAGCCAAGGGAGCTATGTACAATAAAGAGATAGACGTATTTACAGACAAGCCCTATATTCGAAAAATAAAAAATAAATAAATAAAATGAAATAAAAATACAATGTGACGAACCGGGTCCTATATGTTGGTATAGGTTAGCTGTTTCTAAGGGATAAACCTTTAGGTTTTAGGTTTATGTTAGCAGAGCGGTTAGGTTAGGTATAAGCGTTGTCTTATTAATGTTACGTAGTTAGTAAATATAATAGCTAAATTTAATTTAATTATTATATTAACAACTGGCTATTTAAGCTATTTAAATAAATATAAGAACGTAAACTTATATATTTAATTATATATTTTAGATTATAGTAAAAAGTTAACTTTTTTAGCTTTTTTAAATTATCTTAGAAAATTAATTTTCTTAGCTTTTTTAATTAAGGCAGTAATATTTTTAATTAGCCTATTAGTTTTTAGTTTATTTAATTCCGCCTACCCTATAGGCCTATTATTATAACTATAAAAGTTAAGTTATAATATAATTCTCTTTTTCTGTTAATTTTATCCTTAAGACTTAATTAAGGTAGTATATAAGTATTTACTTTTATCTTTTAGTAAATATTATTTAACTTTTTTCTTTATTTTTTAGTTTTTTTATTTTTTTATTATAATTAATTATAAATAAAAGTATAATAATAATAGTATTTTTAAATAAAAAAAAAATATAAAAGTTTTATTAATATTATATTAAAGAATTTTATTTTTATTATAAAATTATATATTTATTATAAAAAATAAAGTTATAAATATATTATTTTTAAAGAAAATTTTTATTAATATTTATTTTATATATAAAATTAAAAATTATATTATAAAATATTTAATTTTACTTTATAATAAATATATAAAATTATATTTTATTATTTAAAATTAAATAAAAAGTTAAAAAATATTAAAAAAATATAACTTAAGGTTAATATTTAAGTAAAGTGTTTTTATATTTAAAAATGTAAATAGTTTAAAAAAATAAAATAAATAATTGTTTATAATATTAATAATTTAAAGGAGTTAAAATAAATTAAATGTAAAAAGTATAAAGTATAAAAAGTAAAGGCTGTTTATTAAACTATAATATTATTATTTAATTTAGTTAATTTTATAATTTTAAGTTTTATAGTTAATATTATTAACTAAAAGGATTTTAATTTTAATTTTTTTTTATTAATTTTTTTAAGTTTAGTTTTTAATAAAAATTATTAAAAAGCTTTTTTAAGTTTTTAAAATATTTAATAGGTTTTTATATATTTTTAATATTATTATAGTTTTTTTATTTTACTAAATATTTAAGTTATTAGGTTTTTTTATTAAATTTTATTATAGTAAATTTTTTAATATTATATTTAAGTTTTTTATTTTTAATAATAATTTTATTTTTTATAATTTTATTTATTTTTTTATTTATTAATGTTTTTTTTAATAATAAAATGTAAAATATTAAATATATTATTTTATTTTTTTTTTTTTTTATATTAAAAAATTAAGTTTATAGTTAATATTATTAATTTTTTTTAAAATTTTATATAGTTTAAGTTTTTTAAAATTAAGTTTATTACTTAGTTAATTTATTTTAATATTTACTATATTTTTATTTTTAAAGTATTAAAGTAAATAAATTATATTTCTTTTTTAAAAAGTTAATTTTTTAATTTTTTATATATTAGTAAATTTATTTATTTTTTTTTATATAAATTTAAATTATATTTATAATTTATTATATAGTTTTTTAATATTATTAATTAT